GCTGCCACCTGCCTGCCTCCCACCCCGGACAGTGGTGGGGCACTATCTTTGGTTTGCTCTTTTCTTAAGTGTCCTTTATCCAGTGAAGGTCATGCCCTTTCACTCCTGGTTTAAGACAGAAAAACAGGCCAGCTAGGCTAATCCTCCGCCTAGCGGCGCTGGCACACCGGGTTCTAGTCCCAGCTGGGGCGCCGGATTCTGTCCCTCTTCCAGGCCAGCTCTCTGCTGTGGCCAGGGAGTGCAGTGGAGGATGGCCCAGGTGATTGGGCCCTGCACCCCATGGGAGACCAGGAAAAGCACCTGGCTCCTGCCATCGGATCAGCGCGGTGCGCCGGCCGCAGCACACCGGCCGCGGCGGCCATTGGAGGGTGAACCAACGGCAAAGACCTTTCTCTCTGTCTCTCTCTCACTGTCCACTCTGCCTGTCAAAAAAATTTAAAAAAAAAATAAAAATAAATAAAAATAAATAAAAAAAGAAAAACACAGAAAGCACAGCTTGTTACCAGCTCCAGCATCTAACTGCTCTGCCCCACCATGGCACTGAGGCCTGAGCAGGCGGCGCACAGAGGCCACACAGTGGATGCTCCCCGACCAGTCTCAGCCCTAACGTGACCCACTGACAGGGCCAGAGTGGGCAGCGGGTAGCAGCTGCCAGGTAGGGGAGTCCCAGTGCCTTGGGTGAGGTGGCCCGGCACACCCAGTCTCCAGACGGGCTGGCCGATGAAGGGAGCCAGCCCCAGGTGTGAGGGCCTGGAAACACACAGATGGAGACAGAAGCGCTGCTTCCAGCAGCTTCCAGCTCACGAGGCCGGGCTGCCGGTCTTAGCAGTCTGATCCCAGATTCCAGCCCCAGGTTGGTGAGGTTGGCGTGTGCTTCTGGTTTGTGGGATTCTGTTTCACAGCAACAGGAAACTGGCCCAGGCCTGCACTGGCAGAACCGTCAGAAACAAGACCTCATAGGGAACAACTCTTGGCAACTCATAATGCTGTGTGGACCCAAGAGTTCACTTCTCTGGGCTGTATCCGTAGCAGTGGGTTGCTGGTCAGAGGTAGTTTGACGGATTCTTTAAGGACCCAGCAAAACGTTTTCCACAACGGTAGCGCCGTTTTCCACCCCGCCGGCCATGTGTGGGGCCTCCTGTTTCTCCACGTGCTCACCAGCACTGTTATTTTCTGGTCTTGTTTGACTGTAGGGTATGTTTGATTGGCCTCTCCCTGATGATGAGTGACACTCAGCACCTTTTTTTTTTTTTAAAGATTTATTTGAAAGAGTTACAGAGAGAAGGAGAGACAGAGAGGGAGATCTGCATCGGCTGATTCACTTCCCAAATGGCTGCAACGGCCAGAGCTGGGCAGGCCAAGGCCAAGAGCCCCAGGACCTTCGTCCAGGTCTCCCATGTGGGTGCAGGGGCCCAGGGACTTGTGCCTTCTGCTGCTTTCCCAGACATTAGCAGGGGCCTGGATTGGAAGTGGAACAGCCAGGACTTGAACCATATGGGATGTCAGCACCGCAGGCAGTGGCTTAACCTGCTACACCGCAGCGCTGGCCCCACCCAGCACCTCCTCATGGCCTTCGGGGCCACCGAGCCTGCCTGGCTTTAGGGTTTCTGGTTTGAAGACAGTTCCAGAAAGGAATGAAATCCTTTTAAGGCCAGGATAAACAAAGGTCCAAGTTGCCGGGGCAGTCGGGGGAAGTTTACAGCTGAAGCAGGTGAAACATTGAGGGTTACACGCGTGGGGCGTTCCAGGGGCGACGGCTGTTCTGAGTCTGCTTCTCGGGGACCCAGGGTTTCTGTGAATCAAACCCACCCTGCTCATTGCTGCACTCTGGGGAGTAGGCTTGGGGTAGAAGTGGGCTTCCTCTCACAGCCCCAGTCGTCTGTTTGTGGTCATGTCTCACGTCTTCTCCCAGAGACCACGTGCACGCATGTGCGTGCACGGACACACACACACACACACAGTGGCCGCAGGCCCCATGCGTGTTGCGTATCTTGCTCTCTGTGCCCTCTTAGAAGTGATTCTGTGAGAATCCACGGGCGCATCCCAACCCCGTTAGCTTTTTATTCAGGGGAATTTCCAGCCATTTCAGCAAATTTACCAAAGCAGTGGGAAAGCAGAGAGATTTAGGAGGATTTTGTGAGTCTCAGTTAAAACATGCCTGTGACCTGCTTTCTCAGGTGCGCTCGTGGGCCAGTTCTGATCATTTGCTGGTGCAGTGCTCCTGCAGTGGGGCTCTGTGTTACCTCCATTCACCCAAGGGGTTAGAAATGCGAGATTCGTCTGCCAGGACACAGCCAGACAGGAATGGTTTTGACCCAGCCGTGGGGGTTTGTGACTGCTGACGCCCTCCCGGGACAGAGTGCAGGTCTTCGTCCCTCATAACAGAGGGTTAGGTCAGGGTGATGCTTGGGGACTTGAAGCAGAGGGTCTCCCATGTTTGCGTGCTCCTGGTTCCCTTTTCAGCTAATTTTTCTTTTTATTAATCATTTTTATTGGCCTTTCAGTATTTTTCTCAACATAAGGGAAAGAAACATTGCAATTACAAATTTTGTGTCATTTGATGATTGACTATGTTTATAAATTCAGGGTACTTTTGCCATATCAGTATAAACAAATTTACTGTCTACTGTGGCTTTGAAGTTTTATTTATCCCAAGATAGTCACCCTGGTTATAAAATTTAAAAACATTTCCAAGTTTGCTCCCAGGACTTATTATTATTACGTATTTCATTCAATTGGAATTCATTGTGCTGCAAAGATTAGAGGTCCAAATGATTTTTTCCTCTTGGATACCTGTTGTCCCAGCACCAGTTTTTAAGTGATGCGTTTCTCTCCAGACTACACCATGGGTCCAGGCAGGGCGGGGGCCTCTCTGCCTCTCATCTCCCAGGTACCACAAGTCACCGCAGCTTCATGCAGTGACTGGTGGTGAGAGTGGTCTTCCTTACTCTTTTCTGTAATTTTTGTCACGTTTTTCTTCTTCAGTAAATGTCTGTTGTCAACTGTCACAAATTCAGAGAACAGCCTGCGTGGGGCTGGCAGGCTGTGGCACGTGGGTCAAGTCCAAGCCTGCTTTGGTAGACAGTTTTATTAATCACAGGACAAGTAATGGCAAAGCAGGAAACGGGTTACCACGTGCTCCTTGACTGGCAGCTGGCACTCCTGTGGGGAATGCAGCTGCCTGTGGGTTGAGCAGGTGCTAGCCCGGGCAGCCTGGCCTGGTCTGGAAGAACCACAGTGGGGCCGGTGCTGTGGCACAGGTCACGCTGCCGCTGGTGACACTGGCATCCCACTGGAGTGCCGTTTCGAGGCGTGGCTGTTCAGCTTCTGATCCAGCTCCCTGCTCATGTGCCTGGGAAGGCAGTGGAGGATGCCCAAGTGTTTGGGCCCCTGCCACCCATGTGGGAGACCCAGATGGAGTGCCTGGCTCCTGGCTTTGGCCTGGCCCAGACCTGACTGTTGTGGCCATGGAAGCCCGCTCTCACCCTGCTTGCCTGATCACTCTGTGCTGTGCACAACACGCGTCCCTACACCACAAGGTTTACTCTTGACTGTCCCTGTAGTCCACTTGAACGCAATGAAACTGTGCTGTTTCTGGTTCCTTTCACTCAACGTGTTGAGGTGCACACGTGTCTCTGTGGCCTTGGACTGGCCACACTAAGGGACCCAGCCTGCAGGTGGCTCCCAGTGCCGTGGCCACCATGGCGCTGCTAGGACCGGACAAGCAGCTGCCTGTGTCTCCTGGGGCCAGCCCAGCGACGAGTCACGGGGGACAGCTGTGTCTTCAGCCCGTCTGGCAAAGTCGGCCCACACCAGATGATCAGGCTTTGCCACCTGCCTAGGGGAAGGGGTGCTCCGGGGTTGGGATGTGTGTGCAGATGAGACACGAGGCGTCCACAGTGTCCTGCGTCCCTCTGCTGGGCACTGGGGACACCTCTTGTGTGATGTTTCTCATGATCCATAAGAGTTCTGACTTCTGGGTGCTGGCCATTGCTGGGTTTATGTCTTGCAAACGTGTTCCCCGCCACTCCTACCGGGACATGTCGACCTCCAGTCCAGCTGATTTTCAGGCTGTTTTATTTACTGTTGAGCCAGACTCTGGGCAGGCCTGGCCTCTGAGCCCGATGTGTTGACAGAGATAAGAGGAGGAAGAAGGGGGCCCGAGAGAGGGCACAGGGCAAACATTTCAGTCTCTCCAGGCAGAATGTTCTTCACTGAAGTAGTTCTAGTCAGGGATCAGTAGTCACAGCAGTGGCAGAGCCAGTACAGACTCCGACACAGCCTGGGTAGGGGTAGAGCCAGGCAGGACAGATGGATGAGTGAGGCCCGGACTCACACCCGCCGTGATGCCTGCTGTGTCTTCAGGAGCCGAGTCCTCCAGGCAGGAGGAAGCCTGGGCGACAGGTGCTGGGGGTGGGGCACCTAGATCCCCCTGATCTTGTACTTAGCGGGCATTTGCTAAACCTGTGGCCCCAGGCAGGGGTGTCAGAGCTGGGCAGCCTGGCCAGAACCAGTCCACAGGACAAGTATTTGGGCACCCAGAGGCAAGGCCTGGTTTGTCTGCTGCGAGGATGGGGGTGGCAGGCGGGAGGGATCAGGCAGAGCCAGCGGGCAGCCGGTGGCCCTGACATGCAGTTCCTGTTCCAGGAGCCTCCTATGGGGGTCACTGCATGGCGACTGGGCGGGCGTTGCCTGCAGGTTCTGGGTTGGGGCACAGGGGTGGGGGAAGAAGGTGGGTCTGCCTTGGATGGCCAGGGGAGGGGGCAGATACCATGTGCAGGGAGGGGCTGGGACCTCCTCAGACCCCTCCCACATACCCTGATGACTGACAGGACTAGTGTGTGAGCAGCACCAGACGCTACCAGCTCTGCTGTCCTTCAGCCTATTAGCAGAAAGTGGACCCAGGCAAGCCCACACCCTCGCCCCAGCGGGAGGCTCTGCCGTGGCCTCCTGGAGCCACAGGAGGCTGGACCAAGCTGGACCCTCTGCTCCCTCCACAGGACCTCACAGGGGGCGAGTTTGAGGAGAACCTGCGGTCGCTGCACTTGCTCGAGGGCCGGGACTTCCTGCACTTCAGCTGAGAGCACAGCCCTCCAGGTGGGTCTGCTTGAGCCGCCTCACTCGTCTCTCTGCCTGCATTTTACGTTCAGCCAATTTTCACCGTCCCTTCTATTTTGATTTTTTTTTTGGACAGGCAGAGTGGACAGTGAGAGAGACAGAGAGAAAGGTCTTCCTTTTGCCGTTGGTTCACCCTCCAATGGCCGCCACGGTCAGCGCACTGCGGCCGGCGCACCATGCTGATCCGATGGCAGGAGCCAGGTGCTTCTTCTCCCATGGGGTGCAGGGCCCAAGCACTTGGGCCATCCTCCACTGCACTCCCTGGCCACAGCAGAGAGCTGGCCTGGAAGAGGGGCAACCAGGACAGAATCCGGCGCCCCGACCAGGACTAGAACCCCGGTGTGCCAGTGCCGCAAGGCGGAGGATTAGCCGCGGTACCGGCCTCACATTATTTTATTAACTTGCATTAAATATATTTTCATTATAATTTCTTTTAAAGCCATGCATTTTTAAAATGAGTCTGTTATTGAAAGTATGTGTGCACACAGTGTGTCTGCATCCTGCACATGTACCATTAGGGCAGGCTTTTGTGTTTGCATCATACGCTTGCTAAATTTCACACTGAACACACCAATTTCAGTAACATGCACTCTGCGCGTGGGTTAGCCCGTCTCCTCCTGAATGTTTAATGTCTTCAGAGGCAGTGACCCCAGCTGCGGGCACACGTGGGACAGTCTGACAGCTTCCTGTTCAGCTGGATTGCTCGTCATAGTTCACGGCAGTCTACTGACAGAACTTGCCTTAAATTTACTCAAAATATTTTTAAGATTTCTTTTTTATTTATTTGAAAGGTTGAGAGAATGAGAAAGGTCTTCCATCCACTGGTCCACTCCCCAAATGGCCGCAAAGGCTGGGGCTGAGCCAGGAGCTTCCTCTGAGTCTCCGATGTGTGGCTCTCATTCAGCAACAGTAGCAGCTCAAGAGGGGGCCGCTGCCCACCAGGTGGTGCTGGGGGCACCCCAAGGTCCTGTGAGCATGACAGGACCCTGGATGGACAGGGTGGAGCTGCTAACGGGTTCACTTCTTACCCATATCATCGCCCCACCTCGCTCTAGGATGGACCAGTGCGAGCACCCACAGGGACAGAAGCAGAGGCCATGTTTGCCAAGAGCCCTCAGTGGCTGCCGCACAGCGGGCACACGGCGTCCGTGAGGTACGCCTGCTTCAGGAACAGACCAGTCGTCTGCATCCCACGTCACCCTGGGACACACACGGACAGTCCCCTGCAGGTGTGGCAGAGCCGCTGGCTGCATACCTGTCCCTCCTAAACTGCACACGGGCAGCGCCGTGGGCTTGTGCAACAGGCCCGTATGTGGAGGTGGGAGGGAGGCCCACCACTCCTGCAGCTGGGGCTTAGCGGCTCCTCTGGCCTTTGTATCATGATTTCCATCTCAGCGGAGAAACGTGACTGGGCAGACCCTGATTCCTGGAGCAGGCGCACCCTCCACGGCAAGAGGGCCCACCACAGCCTCGTCTCCCCGGGGGCCGGCTCTGCTGCTCTCGCGTGCATCGGTCTCAGAGACAGACGAAGGCACTGACCGTGTGGTACATGATTTTATAGGAAGCATGTTTGTGTGTAAGTAAAGGCAGAAGCATCAACACCCAGATCCCCAAAGCACAGCGCCCTCTGCTGGGAACCTCGAGGCATGGTCACCGCAGGGCTCCATGTTGACTGCCGGCATCCACTCCTCCATTGGGGACAGGAAGTCCTCCACCAGGCAGCTCGAGGGCTCGGCTCCCGGACCAGCGTCAGCAGGCCCCAGGCTGCAGACAGACAGGACAGGGTCAGGCTGGCCAGCACCACCTCCTGCGTGTCTCCGCCATGTCCCCAACAACTGGAGGCCAGGTGCCTTGTGGGGAGGCTCACTAATTGCCCCTGTAACCTTCATGAACGCTTGAAGTTTTCCCTAATAAAAATGTAAAAAGCACACTGAACTTGCAAGTCTGATGTTGAGTTTGGCCTCTACCCTCAGGAGACCGTGAACAACACACAGCCTGTTGCCACCATGGTGTGAGGGCCTGGGTACAGCACTGGGAATGGAGACAGACAAAAATGTCAAACGACGACTAAATCAGTGCCCAGCGGACGGCACACACAAAGTAAACGGCAGGAACAACCGAGAAGTGAAGGGGCTGAGAGGACCCAGCAGGCAGAGCGCAGCCTAGAAGATCCACCGCCTTGCTCACAGGAGCCCCCCTGGCAGCTGGGAGACCCCAGTGTCCGTGGAGAGCCTGAAGGGGGGCGGCAGAGCCACAGCTGATGCTGGGATCCTCTTACCACATCATCACCAACAGAAGAGCAGGGAGGAACGAAACCAGTAAAAATCCAAGTGAGGACAAGCAACGGTGCTAGGTGTGGGCCCACGTCAGTGGTCACCTAGATGGATAAAACATCCCAGCTAACGCAGGTTGCTCCACGGGAGCGGAGGCGTGACCTGACCACGAACTGCAGAGAAAGACCACTGAGACGTACGAACACGAGGCTGAAAGCGGGGCAGGGAGGGACAGGTATCACAGACCCAGAAGCCCCAGTGTGGGTGTGGCAGCACCAGGCAGCCCTGTCCCTGACGGAGCCTGTCCACCAGCAGGACGTGTCACAGCCTAGACTGCAAGCTCCGGGTACACAGTTTCAAGTTTCATGAGCGCTGACGAGACTGAAGGGAGAGACAGGGACACAGGGTCAAGATGGAGTCGGGGAGCACAGCCAGACGGTTTGGTGGGGTCCTCGGCGGCAGTGGGGTCAGCTGCAGTGGGTCAAGAACTGGAGGCATCACCCACTGTACAACAGAGCCGAGACGCAAGAACTGTAGCCACGGTCAGCTCCCCAGAGCAGAGGCGGCTGGGCCGAAACCTGCGGGCACTGAAGCACTGTACTTTGCCTCCGTGAGCAGCCCAGGCTCTGGCGGGGCTATCGGGAGCTTCTGCACCCAGGGGCCTCCTCTCCAGGGACCTTACGCAGCTGTGCGTACGCACTGCACACACAGTGAGCTGCCCCCACAACAGCACCCGTGAGGGCAGACTGAGGCGGGGCCCCTGGGAGACTGGGGGGTTCACCCACATCCTGCCCGCACACCAGCAGAGCCCCAGGAGAGACGCGTGAAAGAGTGTGCGACCGAAGCCCTCTGAGGAGGACGCCAAGGCCAGAGTCCGGGCTGAGCATGGACAGAGGTCCTGGAGGAGCCGCGGCTCTGGAACCCCACTCCAGCAAACGTTTGGCAGCAGCTGGCAGCCAGGACGCTGCGTCCTCAGAGTCAAGGTGTCAAGGTCCCGTGACTGCACCCAGCACACGGCCCGACAGGCACAACGCCAGGAGAAAGCAACACCAGGATCAGACTCGGCCACGGCGGACGTCGGAGTTACCAGACCAGGAATTTAACACAACTGCGAGTAATCACCTGTGGGCTCTAACGGATAAAGTGGGCCACGCAGGAGCCGACGGGTAAGAAGATGCGAGTCCTCAGAGTCCACGTGAAACGCTACTGATGAAAAGCCAGGTAGCCACGGACGGCTCACCAAGGTCAGCCCCGGCCAAGGGAACCAGAGACACATCCCAGACTATGCAAGAACCCAGGGACGGTGACAAAAATAGGTGTAGCGGCAGTCGGTGAAACCACCGCCTGTGACTGTGACGCCAGCATCCCACACAGAGTGCCAGACCAAGTCCTGGCTGCCCTGCTGCTGATGCGGCCCCTGCCACCCACGCGGGAGAGGACGGTGGAATTCCTGGCTTTGGCCTGGCCCAGCCCTGGCCATTACAGCTGCATGGGGAGTGAACCAGCCCTCCCCTCTTCCCTGGGTTGCCCCCTCCCCCACTTCTTTTTAAAGATGCGCAGCGTCAGTTGCCAGTGCTGCCTGAGTCAACGTTCGGGCTGCACGTGACCTCAGCCCAGCTCCTGGCCGGCTTTACGCTGCACGCTGAGCTGATGCGGAAAGCTTTATGGAAATAAAAGAGCCAAGAAGAATCAAGGTACTTGAAGAACGAACTCATGACCTAGGATGAGCCCGCGCCTGGGATACGGATGGGTCCAGATCCATGGCCAGGACAGGGAAGACCGCCTCTCTCTCACGGGCTGTCACCTGACTTGTCACTTGGTGCCAAGAGTGGAGTCGGCTCAGCTGGACACAACCCCTCTCACCCCCAGGCAACAACCATCAGCCAGGTGAACTGCCAGTTTCTGTGTTATAAAAAGCTTTCAGGAAAATCAGGAGGTGGAGTGACCTCATAGTAGGCAAAGGTTTCTCAAAGAAAGAAGGGGCTGGCAGGTTGGAATGTGTCGGACCGAGGGAGAAGGGTGCCTGGAGGCAGACGACCCCGACAAGCAGGGCGGGAGCGCGACGGGCACCAGCACACGAGGACTGACAGCACGGACAGCAGGGCAAGAGTGTGTGTGGACTATCGTGAAACTCCCCGGGGCAGACACGGACCCTCAGGAGCCACAGCTGCAGGCACCAGGGCCTCGGGACGTGGAAGGCGAGAGGCGGCTGCGATGGACACTGCGTCAGGGAGGCGACAGCGGAGGCGGCGCGGGAAAGGTCAGAGCGGGGATGGGGGAGTCTCGAGAGGCAGGATGAGGGGCCACGCGGCTCGAGGCACATGACAGTGGGAGGAGCATCTCGCGTCGGCTGGTGCCCAGTGGCACTGCAAGTCGAGAGGCGTGCTGACGGCACGTGTGTGACAAGTGCAGAGGCCTGGGCGTGCTCGGGGCAGCACCCTCAGCGCTCAACAGCTGGCCTGGGCCAGGTGAGCTCGAGTTCCCAGTGCCTGCGAGACCCCGAGACCCCCGCTCGCTTGTTCTCTCGGCTGCAGGAGGAAGAGCCAAGCGCCCTCAGCCCTGCCACTCCTGGGAGCAGACAGGTGAGGACAGGGAGCACGGGGGCCCTGGAGTGGGAGCCTCGCAGGCCAGGGGCAAGCAGCTCTGTCGCTCACACAGCCCGGCCGCCCAGGAGGACCGGGTTCCCCCGGGGTCCCACGAGTGGGCAGCGTGGGTTACTCGGTTTACCTTGGAGACCAGCTGTGGTCTGGGCACGCTGAGGAGGTCACACAGGCGATTCCGCTGTCCTCTCACGACCGGGAGCTCTGCCTCCCTGAGGAGGGAAGAGCGCCGTGAGGCCCAGCACCAAATGTGCACTTAGCACCAACTCCCAGGGACCCTCTACTGCTGGGCAGAGGCCCCGTCACCCTGGATCCAGAACTGGGGGAAAGCTGCCCCACTCACCCTGGGACCCACACCCAGGCGGATGCTCGCTCGGGCAGCAGGCAGAAAAGACACCTTCGGAGGTGGCTACCCTCCCTCGCCACTGCTGGGGGAGGGGCTGCGGCCCAACCCAGGGCGGCACAGACTTCATTATGGCTTTTTTCTTTTATTTAAGTAAGTTTTATTTGAATCCAGCCATGTATTATTTTCATTAAAAATGAAAGCTAGGCTTAGCAATGCCATGGAGAAGTACTGGGTGTGTTTCTTTTATGTAACAGGAAAAGCTACTTTATATTATTTGAAGTTTTACAGAAAAGGGGTCTAAGTTACGGGGAAAGAGCTCCCTGCCCTGCTGAAGCCCACAGCACTGGCAGGTGCGGCGCTGACAGCGCGGCCCTTGCTCCCCCTGCCCGTTGCAAGCAGACGCTCAGGATCTGGCTGAGGACGGCCTCAAGGCCCGGTCAGTCACCAGGCTTTGCACACCGTGGCTGCCATACCAGGCGTTCTTCCAGGGAGGCAGAAATGGGAGTGACCCTGGCAGTGACGGCCCCGCCCTCAGGGAAACGAGCAGGCCACCCCCCGCCCCCTCGCCTGCTGAGCAGGGTGCGTGGACCCTGACAGCCCTGGTGCTGGTGTCTGGGGCCAGCACAGAGACCCCGACCCCTGGTGTCCAAACGCCTGCGCCACCTAAGATGGGAGTGTGTGTGTCCGTGAGTGCACAGGTGAGCAGGTGACAGTGTGTGCCCAGGAGCGTGCAGTGATGGCCAGTGTGACCGCGTGTATACGTGAGCGCATGTATGCAGGTAAATGAGTGTGTGAGCATGTGTGTGTGCACGTGTGCGAGAGCGTGCACTGGCCCCTGGAGCACAGCACGCAGCACCAGAGTGCTTGCTGCTGCCGTCACGGTGAGCACCAGAATGCTTCCAGGACCTCGGCCCAGCACACCGGACCCCCGCCTGCAGCGCTTCTGCTCCTCCACCCGCCCGCCCTCCCCACTGTGGGGACTCCCCGCTCCTTGTCGTCTCTGAAGCCGCACGTGGCCTCAGTAACTCAGCGAAGACCCAGGGCCCTCCCCAGGGGAGTCGGGGCAGCAGCCTCGGGGTCACTCACCCCCGCACCGTGTTCTAATGGAACGGCAGCACACGGAGCCAAGGAGCCTGCCGCCAAGGGGCAGAGCCGCCAGCCCTCCACAGAGAAACTGGAGCCCGGGCCCCCACAGCTGGACTCTCAGCAGAGCCTGGTGCACTCGGGGACAGAAGGGGGGGGCCCCCACTCACCACGCCGTGTCGCTGAGCACCGCCATGACCTCTTCCAGGACGTCCACACCCACCACGTCGCTGTAGGTCAGCACCATTTCATACACCTGGCTCGCTGTGCTCTTGCGGATCTGGGGGGAGCAGCACACGAGGACATAGCAGAGGTAACGGGAGTAGGGGCGCCCCCACTGCCCACCATGTCCGCGGCAGCCAGCCAGGCCACTCCCTCACTCCACTCCCTCAAGAAGCCCCCTCTCCCCCACCCAGAGGAAAACCACCCCACGTGCTTGCTTTCCTGCCTGTGCCATGCTGGTAACATCGCATGGGTGGGGGGCTCAGAATCCCCAGGCCTCCCCAGAGGCCCTCAGCCAGCAGGTTAGGACCCAAGAGGTGGTGCTGACGGCCCCGGAGGGTGCCGAGGCCGTGGCCCCGGCCACCTCTCTAAGAAACACTGCTTTGTGCAAAAGGTTTTTACCTTGTAGGAAAATGCCACCTGTGGATCTTGGAAAGAAATCCCGGGGACCTAACCCTGGGGCGGGGTTCTGGGTGCAGGGGCCCCTGGACTGGAGCCAGCAGAACCCAGAGAACCTGCTGCCCTGCTTCCGCGGCCTGCACCCCCAGAGCGTCCTGGGCCACAGGTGGACGCACCCAGCCGCGCACTCACCACAGGGAACGGGTGGCACAGCAGCAGCAGCAGCTGCAGGAGCACCTTCTTCCTCACGTCACCACGGAACTGCACCATCCCACAGAACCTGCACAGCCGGAGAGCCGTCACGAGTGCCTGCCGGGCTGCACGCGGGTGCACGAGCACACAGCTCCCGCAGGCCGGGGAGCTGGTTCTGTGCCTGTGCAAACCGCCTCACTTCAGGACTTCTCTGGGGCCCTCGTGAAGCCCCACACCCTCACCCCGGCACAGGGGCCAGCCTGGTGCCCATGTGCCAGCAGGAACGGCTGGGTCACCATCACAGCCCGGCATGCACTACGATTATTAAAAACAGACACCAGAACACACCATTTAGGCAGCCTTAGGACTAACCGTAACTACAGCCCCCACCTGGAGCCCCCGAGCCCCTCCCCTCACCGCCTGGGACAGGCTCGACTCACACGGCGGTGACTGAGCGGAGCTTCTGGACGTCTCTGGACTTGCTGGTCTCTCTCTTGCAGAGCGCGAGCAGCCGCACACAGAAGGGGTGGCTGGAAGGAGGGCAGGCACTCAGGGCTGTGCCTGTGGCACTCAGGGCAGCTGCTGCCACCAAGTGACCAGAGGCCAGCTCCAGTGACACCGAGGTGACAGGAGCGGTAACTGCTTGGCAAGCGGACAACCACCGCCCACGTCCCCACCCTGCGGCTCACAGGATCAGGGTCGCAGGCGGCCCCGTGGACGCCACACCCCGGGCGACCTAGGCTGGCTGCCCCGTCAGCTGTGTCAGCAGCTCCCAGGGAGAACCGCATCCCCCTGGGGTGAAGACCAGACGAGGAGCTCACAGCCATGTCCCTTCCAGACCTCACGGTCGCTCAGAGTCCCCGTGCCCCGGGTCTGGCCCCAGCCACTGTGATGCTTGCTGAGGACCGAGTGACCAGCACGCCCATCACTGGTCCTCAGCCTCTGGCTCCTCCCACCCAGACTGTGCCAACCCCGTGGGCCCTCTGCGAGCCCACTTGCCTCAGGGAAGCGCGGCTCCATCCTCGGGCTGCTCGGCACTCGGCCTGCAGCCGGCCCCACTTCTCTCCCACACCCCTCACCAGAGCAACCCGCACGTCCACTGGTCCATGTGCACCCAGCAGTCTCCAGCCCCTCTGCCGCTAGCTGGCCACATGGCTGCCAGCTCAGCCGACCTGTCCCTGCCCACGGTCTGTCCTCGGCCTGGGGCCTTGGCTGCCACCGGGGGTGCCGGGAGGCGCAGCCTTTGTTTCGAGTCTTCAGCAGCAATAGGACCAGAACTTGACCCTGACGCAGGCAGAGGCCCAGGCTCCGGGCTGTCACCCAGACAGTGCAGCCCAGGCACAGGGCCAGATGCACGCAGGCCTCTCAGCTGGGGCTGGGGCTGCGTCCCAGTGGTCCAGATGGCCCAGAAAGCCAGCCTGGAAACGGGAATAGGCACCCCCAGGAATACAGAGGCCGAGGGCCCCACGGAAGCAGACAGAGCTGAGCCCACCTGCTCTGCCTGCAGGGGGCCCCAGCTCTCACCAGGGGTCCCCGTGACCCTCGTTCACCCACAGGCCCTCTGTGACTCTAGTCCCACCTGCCAGCGCCCACCCAGACACCTCAGCTGCTGGCTGGACGAGCCTGCCCGGCCCCCGCTCCTCCCCCGATGCCTGCTGGCCAGAACCACAGTCTGTATAAAAGCTGGCTCTGTGGGCACGAGAACTGTCTCCAAGAATTCTGATCTCTGGAACAAAGTATTTTTCCTTCAAAACTGAGCTCCTTAGGCGTAACCAGGAAAGAGGTGTTGAGTAAAAGCCTCACTTCTCCTCCACGGCGAAGACCTCAAAGCACCCGTTGGCCAGCATCTGGTCAAGCATCTTCAGTAGCGGCACGGTGACCCTGAGGGGAGAGGATGAGCGTGAGGCCACGGGCAGCGCCGGAGGAGGAGAGGCCACGGGCAGCGCCGGGAGGAGGGGGGGCCACGGGCAATGCCGGGAGGAGGAGGGGCCACGGGCAGCGCTGGGAGGAGTGGCCACGGGCAGTGCCGGGAGGAGGAGGGGTCACGGGCAATGCCGGGAGGAGGGGGGGCCACGGGCATCGCCGGGAGGAGAGGCCACGGGCAGTGCCGGGAGGAGGAGGGGTCACGGGCAGCGCCGGGAGGAGGGGGGGCCACGGGCAGCGCCGGCTGGGGAGCGCGACAGCGACCTGGGTGCCAGCAGGAAGCACCGGAGGGTCAGGGGAACCCTGAGCCACCGGGAAGAGAACGAGCCTGAGGCTGACAGAAGCCACGGCAAAGTCGACACGCCCGAGACAGCGTGGGGCTGGGGCAGGAAAGGCTGGAGCACGGGGGAGTCCACAATAAACCTGCACGTCTGGCTCCCACAAAGACCAGGGGAGGCCTCCCAGCAGCCGGTGCTGGGCACGGGGACTATGGCACGGCGGGTTCAGCCCCCGTGACGCGGGCATCCCAGATCAGAGTCCGGTTCAAGTCCCAGCTGCTCTGCTCCCAATCCAACTCCCTGCTAAGGCACTGAGAGGGCAGCAGATGACGCCTGTCACCCACGTGGGTGACCCAGATGGAGCCCAGGCTCCTGCCTAGAGCCTGGCCCCGTCCTGGCCGTTGTGGCCATTTAGGGAGCGAACCAGCGGATGGAAAATCTCCTATCAGGCCGGCGCCGCGGCTCACTAGGCTAATCCTCCGCCTAGCGGCGCCGGCACACCGGGTTCTAGTCCCGGTCGGGGCGCCGGATTCTGTCCCGGTTGCCCCTCTTCCAGGCCAGCTCTCTGCTGTGGCCAGGGAGTGCAGTGGAGGATGGCCCAGGTGCTTGGGCCCTGCACCCCATGGGAGACCAGGAAAAGCACCTGGCTCCTGGCTCCTGCCATCGGATCAGCGCGGTGCGCCGGCCGCAGCGCGCCGGCCGCGGCGGCCATTGGAGGGTGAACCAACGGCAAAAGGAAGACCTTTCTCTCTGTCTCTCTTCTCTCTCACTGTCCACTTTGCCTGTCAAAAAAATAATAATAATAAAAAATAAAAAATTTAAAAAAAAAGAGATCTTTAAAAAATCTCCTATCTCCTCTGTCACTTTGTCTTTCAAATAAATAAATCCTTTAAAAAACATAAAAACAAGTACTGACCACACATGCACACAAACAAAACTGAAAACAACAGTTAGCAAACGTAAACCTGAAACCATGAAACTTCTGTGGCAAAACAGGATCTGTGCACTCAGAGCAGGCAGATTCTCAGACACGACCTGGAAACCACAGGCCACAGAACACGCAGACACACGGATCTGGTCAAGGTGAGGGAAGCGACAGGAGACAAGCCACAGCCTGAGACACCTGCCAGTCAGCTGCTTGACAAAGGGTCCGTCTGGTGCATACAAAAAAATCTGAGCCCAGAGTGGCCGGGAGCCGCGAGGCGCACAGACGGCGCCCCGCAGCCTGCTCCGCATCGTCATCGCCAGGGAAGTACAAGCTGAAGCCACTGGGGAACCCACAAAGCAGGGGCTACAAGGAGAAAGACCCCGTTCCAAGTGCTGGTGAGGACAGGGGACGACCAGCGCTCATGACGCCACCAGCGGGGATGCTGGGAAAACGTAAAAAACATTCACTGCCCCATGACCCAGCCACTCCACCCCTCGGAACCAACTGACAGGAAGTCCACACAGCAGGTGAGGTGCCTGCTTGGGGGCTGGCGGTGGGAACAGAGGCGCCGAGCACAGTGACCCCCGGTGGAGAGCTGGCTGGACCAGCACGTTCCCTGTGGCCTTCTAACAGCCCAGACGGAAGCCGCCCAAATGCCTGTCCACGGGTGAATCCTGGTCCATCCCCAGTGACACGCAGTGGACAACACAGCCAGCACACACGACACATGCCACGTGGTTCACTCAAACCGAATCCCAGGAGATGCTAACAAAGCCACGGTGGCTACGGTCTTCACTGTGGGACACTGGTGTTCACAGGTGCACATGTGTCACCACGATGCGTGGCCTCCCCGTCCCTCCTCCCTCAGCAGAGGTTCACAGGAAGAGACAAGGCCGCTGGCTGGGCTCCGTGTGCGGAGAGGACACCAAGGACCCAGCAGTCCCCTGGAGGGCTCCAGGGGAGGCTCTCAATTCTGACGTCGGGACCTGTGGGGTCTGTACCCCACTTCTGTGTAAAACAGCTAAAAAGCTGCAGCCCAAATGGACAGGAAACCGTCCCGTTTCTCAAGTCATGATCCCCCCACAGGCGCTCAGGAGCACGGGCAGCTCCTGACAGACGAGAACCACGTCCCATATCCTGGGTCCTTGTTCACCGTCTTTGAAATGGACAGCGCTGGCCAGGAGAGGGCCCAGGTGAGCCAGTGCCCACTCCAACGACTGGCAGTGGCCAACTGGCCCTGTGCGACTGTGCCACCCCTCCTGCTAAGGCCCCGGGGCCCGTGGACACAGGGTGCGAGTCTTCCGTGCCGCCCACACCTCCACACACCTGTCAGTCAGAAGGTGGTCCTCAAAGACCTGCAGCAGGGTCTCGCTGAAGCTGCCCAGGGCCTGTGGGTCACTCTGGATCCCCTTCATGTACTCAAAGAGGCTGTGCGTAGACTGCCTGACCTGTGACACGGAGATGACAGCGTGAGGCAGCAGCACCGCCCCCCCGCGGCCCCCGGGCTGAGGTGACAGGGACAAGGGCTGTAGCCGCTCGGCCGGCACGGCCACCGGGCACGGCCACCGGGCACAGCAGCAGAAGGGGCTGGTTGCTGACAGCCGTCCTGTCAGGGCTGCGTGACCGCCAGCAAGCCGAGTGCCCACAGGACCTATGACCCCGAGACACTGGCGCGAGGTGGGTCTGGAACCCCACTGGGGACCAGGAGGGACGCACTGGCCCGGGATGTCCACTAAAGCATTCTCTGGGCTTTCATGCACGTTGTAAAATGTCCCAAAGGAAAAACATAAGACAAAGGAGCTGCTCCTTAGGCAGCAGGAGTGATCAGCTAAAAATATAATAGAAAAGCGTCAGTACTCATTTCTAATAATACCAAAACTTCAAATGCTGTAAAGAAACGTTTCAAACTGCACGTCCAGATGTGGAGCAACGCGCCCTGAGCAAGGCCACAGAAGGCCACCAAAGCATCAGCCACGCCCGTGTAGGGTGGGGCCGCAACGTGGCTCTGCACAGTGTTCCTGCAGGAGACGGTGGCAACACCTCACAGGGCCGCTCCACCTCCCCAGCCCCGACCCCCAGCCCGGCCCTTTGCCTCCTCACCGTGGACGCTGTCAGGCCACCCACAGACACAGCCAGGCCCAGCAGGACGTGGTAGCGGTAGGCAGGCAGCCCCAGCAGCTGGGTGATGAGAGGGAAGGCCTGGGAGGGTGCGTTCCAGTTCACAGAGGCCATGTCAGACCTGCAGGGGGCAGCACCGTGAGGCCGCGCTGGGGGCCGGCATGGGGGGAGCCCACCCCCACAGTACCTGGGAAACAGCCTTTCCAGGTCTCCTCGGTGAGGCACGTGGGGGATGGGAGGGCTGTCAAAGTGCAGGAGCGTCAGGAACACGCGGGCAGCGTGAGCACGGAACCGGTCGATCTTCTCGCTCGCCTGCTGGGCCACGCAGCACATGATCCGCTCACAGCTGTAAGAGAGACCGGGCGCGCTCAGCACAACCCCGCTCCCTGGCCAGCAGGGGACAGAGTCCGGGGGCCACCTTCCCAACCCAGAATCCCCAAGTGTGCTCAGTGCACACTGATGAAGAAGCCGTTACAGGGTGGGTGTGGGGTCCCGGGCGGGGTGAGAGCAGAGAGGAAGGAGGGGGAGGTGGCAGGGAAGAGGCAGGAGGCACTAGAGACCTGGACCAGGAGTCGCCCCAGTGGGTGCTCTGACGGCCTCAGCAACACAGCAGTGGCAGGGGGAGGGAGGCCAGCGGCCTGGGGCGCCGAGCAGAGGGTCTTGAAGAGGGGTCCAGGCAGGGCAGCAGGGGCTGAGAGGCTGAGAGGCTGGTGTGGGGAGAAGGTGCCCCCGTGACACTCACACGTGGGCTTCGATCAGCTCGGGGCAGCTCTGGGCCAGCAGAAGCGTCAGGTCCATCAGGCTGGTCATGGCGGCCTCACGGACCCTGTGGGGTGAAGACACGCAGGGAAGCTCCGTGTGGGAGGAGACTCCAGCCGCCCAAGATGGACCCACACACACGCCACATGGGGCCCATCTCCGAGGAGTGTCAGAGACCCCCTGCACGTGGGGAGACCGCCAGCCACACGCAGGGCCCCAGACGTCCGAGCATCCCCCTCCGCAGGAAGCGTCCCCTGGAGGAGGCCGAGTCTGCACCCCAGGACACCGTCCGCACACAACAGGAGTCCCCCAACATGGGCCAGTGGTGCTGCCTCCGCTGCGCCATCGCGCCCTCCCCACAACGTGGTGTGTGTGAAAGACAGCGAAGCCTACTGCCTAACCGCAGGGCAAAAGCAGCCCGAGCCTCCAGGGCACAGCCCCCGGCCACTCCTGCTCACCCAGGCAGCGCTCTGCGCCCACGCTGGGTCTGTGCTACGAGGCCAGGAGGTCCTGAAGAGGGAAGGCACCCAGGCTGGGAGGTCCACAGCAGACGCGGCGCAGACAAGGCCACCAAAGGCCACCCCCGCTGCCGCAGGGGACTGGACATGGCAGGCCAACAGCACCCGCACAGCTGGCAGGACGGGAGCTGCCCCGGAGACGAGGCTGGGCCCCCTGTGAGGACCTCACCAGCCAGAGCACACGCAGCTGCTCACTGGGCGAGGGCTCAGCAACATGCTATGGGGGCCCTGGGGCGGGCAGGGGCCCCACACTGCAAAGCACTGTGGGGAGCCCTGGGGAAGGGGGCATATGCTACAAGTGGGGTCCCAGGTCTGCACCGTGCGGCCCGAGGTGAGGCTGCACACAGCCGGCCGAGCACACGTCTGCAGGAGGGAGAGCAGGGCCGCACACCCAGGGGCCCCAGGAGGCTGTGCCACATCCACCATGGCAGGAAGCAGCCACGCCCGGCCTCCACCACAGGCGCCAGAGCCCACAGCAGGCACCTACTGCAGCACAGCGGCACTGAGACGGTGCTTCTGCGTGCAGACCAGGTCCCGCCTTGAGGCCACTGGCACAGTGGAAACCACGCGACACGCAGGGACACTCGGCAGACGAGTGCCACCCTTACCAGGCTCCCATGTCGCCCCTGCTGTCCGTGGTGTAGTCGTTCATACAGCCCAGCAGCGCACAGTACACCTGGGACACGTTCTCTCTGCACAGAGCTTCGTCCGGGGCGCCCTCTGCTCTCACACCCACCGTCTGGCAAACGCTGCCGTGGAAAACGTAAGAGGTAAGTAACAGCGCACGCCCGTGGCCTGGCAGCCTCTTCCTGCCGCAGAGCCCCTTGCCCACGGCGTGGCCAGTCCTCCAGCCTCCACACCGAGGAGGGGGCTGACACCAACGTCAGGAGCAGGAGTGGGGCTGCCTGTGCGGGTGGGCACGGCCAGCGTGCCAGCGCCCGGCCCCACACCGAGGTCGCCCAGGCCAACTCAAGGGAAGGCAACGCTCTGTGGGCTGGACGTCTGTCGTAAGCAGGACTCACTGCTAACGAGCCTCCACACAGAAACACTGAGAACTCTGAAAGAGGAAGGAACTGGAACATAAAACATACAGTGCTCCGACTGGGCTCCTGACAGCGCCCGGTGCTGGGCTCACAGACTCACCTGGAGATCGCCTTCAAGCCGTCTCTCCTGGACTCGGCAAAGCTCACGTTCCCGGGAGAAGTCTGGGTAACGGCTCTCAAGCCCGCAAGAACCTGAAAGCAGTGAAAAGTCACCGTGGCGCCACCACCTGTGGAGCAGCTAGGCCTTAGTCCCCAGATGGCTGGCAGCACCCCCCTCACAGCCACAGGCCCGGCCGCAGCTCCGGACTCAGAGACAGAGCCTGCGGCCCATGCCACTGCCAAGTCCCAGCCTCGCCCTGGGCAAGGTTCCCCCTGTCCACTCCTGGACCTGGCAGAAGACAAATGAAAACGTGCTCCTTCCAGGCTCTGTCTCTGTCCACACGTCGAGGGTTTCAGACACAACAGCAGCTACGTGGGCTCAGGGCGAGGGAGGGCGCCGGGGTTTGTGCGGGAACGACCATGCCCACAGCCTGTTCCTGCCTCGGTCCAGGTTCGGCAGGGAGCAGCTGGGACAAACAGGACTCTGGGGCCAGCGCTGTGGCAGAGTAGGCTAAGCCTTCGCCTGCAGCATCAGCATCCCATATGGGTGCCCATTCATGTCCTGGCTGCTCCACTTCCAATCCAGCTCTCTGCTGTGGCCTGGGAAAGCAGTGGAACATGGCCCAGGTCCTTGGGCCCCTGCACCAGCATGGGAGACCTAGAAGAAGCTCCTGGCTTTGGATAGGCATAGCTCCAGCCGTTGCAGCCAATTGGGGAATGAACCAGTGGATGGAAGACCAACCTCTCTCTCTTTCTCTACTCCCTTTCTTCTCTCTCTTCTCCCCCACCCCCCCACCCCGTCTCTGGAACTTCACCTCTCAAATAAATAAATCCATCATAAAAAAAAAAAACCCACAGGATTCGGTGGTGGTTCAGTGGGGAGGGAAGACAGGTTTGGGGGACGAGGCTAGCAGGCAGCTGGCTGTGTGGCACCGCCAGGCCCTGCCAGGAGCTCAGCACAAGGACTGTGGTCACTGAGAGGCTGACAAGGGGCAGCCAGTGCAGCGACGGCAGACGTGAAGGAGGCAGTGAGACTTAGGGGCTCGGGAGTGGTGAGGATGCGAGCGTCCCCTGTGGGGCGAGGGCCTGAGAGCAGCCGCGGGTACGAGTGCCTCTGCAGTTGACAGCAGAGGGAAGATCTGGGGGCTGGGTGAGGGCCCCAGCCAGCACACCCTGCAGATCGGGCCCCCAGGACATCCGTGCTCCTAGCTCAGGCCACCACTGCCTTGGGGGGTGCCGGGTAAAGCCACAGAGGTTCTTTGTCTCTGAGGGGCAGGCAGGGACCCACGGCCATGGCTGACTTGGGAGGAGGAGTCCTGGGAGCCTCCGTGCAGACCAGCCGGAGTTTGCCACAGCCTTGCCGCGGCAGCCATTATGCCCACAACCCAGCCTGGGAGCAGGACAGCTGGCACAGCCCTGGGCGCTGCTCCCCCTGCTCCCCACAGCCACACGCTGGCTTCAGAGATCCCTCCCAGCCACAGGCCCCGCATGGACTGTTGGTGGTCTGACGCTCTGCCCACACGTGCACGTCACCTGCTGCAGCTTGCCTCTCAGAAGGAAGTCTGGAAGGGCGCCCAGGGCGAGCGAGAAGCCGCAGCGTGTCATCTCCTCGGGGCTCCGGAGCTCAGCCAGATACTGCCCAATCAGCTCCTCTGAAAAGCAGCAGAGAGCCACGGCACCATCAGTCACGGGCACACCAACACACTCCACAGGCCAGCAAGATGGCGTTCAAGGGAGACAGCCACTGCTTCTGGCTTCCAAAGCAGACACAGTTCCCAAGCGGTGCATGTCAAAACATGCCAAGAAGGAATCGTTCCAAGGTGGTTTTATCCAAGAGGGACAGAGAGAGGGAGACAGAGAGAGGGAGGGAGGGAGAGGGCTGCGCACACTCCTGTCCACGGGTTCACTCCCCAGATGCCTGCCATGGCTGGGCCAGAGTCGGGGACCAGGCCTCCGAGCCCTCACGGCTGCCCCCAGCAGAGCACCTCAGCGGGAGGCTGCAGGCAGGCGGACACGGGGGTCCCGCCAGCGGCCTACTGGGCGGTCAGGTGCCTTCCCCATTTCAAGGTTTTCAAAAGCAACTCTAACCACAGGGCTTCCTTCTAGGAAAATGAACTCCAAAGGATTAGGACAGCAGGAGACACATTCACAGTGCTCCTTTGTTATTCACTAAGGACAAAAAATGCTTACTGCAGAAACAGTGTCTTCCTCACAAACGCAGAACGCAGCAAACCCAGCCGGGTGTGAGCCCAGGGCTGTGAGGGAGCAGTGGGGGAACAGTGACAACCGAGGCAGGGCTGGCGCGCACCCAAGGTTCAGAAAGGAAGGGACACGGCTCAGAGGCACACAGGCAGCCAGCGCCTCTGCGCGTCCTCTCTGCTGTACCCCCAGCCCCGGTCACGGCTGTTTGATCCAGCAGGGCAGGCCCTTGGACCCGGGCATGTCTCCTGTCTTCGTGCCAGGTGGAAACACACACCGTGGAGTTCGAGTTGCACCCACTAAGTGACTCAGCGTCTCCATCATCTTCACAGCCCAGAGACTCACCTTAGCAGAGCAATTTCCGCTCTCCTTTCCCTCTCAATTCACACTGACACGAAGGGAGTTCTCACGCAGAAAGCTCAGCGAGACCCCACTAATCCAACTGGTAAAGGCTACCGTCGCCTGTGGCGCGGGGCTGCTGTAAAACATCTCTAGCTTACAAAGCCTGTCCAGAGACCCAACTGTAGGCTATCTGCTAATTTTCATAGAAATCACAGCAGTTTTGACTGGCACACGTGACTTTTATACTTTGTAACCTAAAATACTGTTTCATATACTCTTGATGTGACTGCAAGGCATGTGTCACACAGAATATGAAGAAATGTTGGAGACTAACACAGCCGATGAAAATGACACACTGTTAAAGATGTGAGACCGTGCTCATGAACGAGAGCCTACAGTGCCAGAAACCAGCTCGACACAGCCACAGCTGGTCCGGGACGGCCCTGCTGGGCAGCGAGGGGGCAAGGGGGCAGCATCCTCACGCCCACTTTGTCCAGCACGGCAGGGACAGGCGGGAGCCAGATGGTGCACAGGACAGCTCGTACCAGCCCTGGCTGCTGCTGGCATCTGGCAGAGTGAGCCACGGGACGAGAGCTCTCTGTCTCTCAAACAAAAAGGAGACGGAGAGGAGTGAAGCAACCGCTGCTTCGACAGACAGACTCCCAGGAGGAAGCGTGACCGAGGGTCGGGAGCGCCGGGAAAGCAGCGCTGAGCTGACAGCGGTCAGGCGGGAAGGGCACAGTGCACAGAAGCACCAAGGAGATGCGAGGGGACACACAGGAGGAAAGAGCCAGCAAGTCGGCCCCTGGCAGGCCAGGGCTCCGCACAGGAGGGGCTGGAACTGGGAGACGAAGTAGGAAAACACGGCTGAACTGAGTGACAGCTGACTCTAGACGTGGCCCGGTGACACTGGCCTGGGATGAGTGGCCACACAGTGGTCCTCGGGGCGGATGGCACACCTGAGTGTGTGACAACAAAGCAAAAGCTGCTCGGGCCCGAGAGGAGCGTCCCCAGATCACCCAGAGTCCTTTCTCCGCCCTTCCTGACGCCCGTCACCACTCAGGACCGCTGCAAGATGAGCAGCACAAGCCCGGCCCTCGCCCGCCCTCCTGGAGCCTGCAGGGGAGGACCTGCCCCGTCCACTCACCCTGAACCGCAGCATCTGCCTTCCCCGGCTCCTCCATGTAGTACTGGCGGCAGAGTGCGGCCAGGGCCGAGACGGCTGCCTCCTAAAAGAACAGAACCTGAGTGCGGAGGCTCCGCCAGGCAAAGCCCCCGCCCTGGCGCCCGCGGCTGCTCCGAGTCCGGGAGGGGCGGCGGCACCACATGTGCACGTGTGCAGTGCGGGCGGCGGTGCTGTGCTCACTCTACCTTGATCTGCTGTCTGGAATGACTTGAGATGAGATACAGGCTCCTGAACGTGTCATCTATCAGCCACCGCCAGCCACCTGTCAAGGAACCATGGATGTTCATTTACCCAATTAGAATATTCGGCTGAAATTGAGATCAACAAACGTATCTCCCACTAACTCTAAAGTGAAAGCATTAGGCGCGTCTGCAGGAAACCTAACATTCCCGGGAGAGTCGCCTCCTGGCCACGACATGTTACACTCTGCAAGCTGAACGACTCGTACGCTGCACTGTGGGAAGTGGCGCCTTTGGTGCACGGCGAGCTCCCAATGGCCTTTTACTGCCTGTCTCCTCCCATCGGCGCAAACCCAAACATTCAACTCAGCGCCAACAGCAGGCAAAGAAAAGGAACAAGGTCCCAACTCCCACAGCAGCAGAGACCCAGGACACAGCCAGCCCCACAGCCCCCGTCTTGGGTCCTGAGGCTGTGGCGGGGTTGGCACTTCCTGCTGCTCACGCGGCCCTGGGTGCCAGCTGCAGGTATTTTCCTGGGACACAGGGCCTGGTTACTTGGGTGCTCGTCCACCTGCCTGGGAGAGGGGACTGAGCTAGCGTGGCCAGCACCGTGCAGGGCACCCAGGAGAGGTGGGACACAGGCTGCCTTTGTTTGTAGGGAGGGTGGCGCTGCCACCTTAAACCTCAGCCCCTGCACTGTCCATCCCCACAGGGCAACTTCTCTTTGGAGCCTGCAGCCGTTCTAGAAGTTCGGGCAAACATGTGAGTGGCTAACAGGAAAACACTCACCAATGACGGCGTCCCCTTTGAAGGGCATTCTGGAGAGTGATAACTTTTCTATTAAAACGCACACTAGAAGAGAGGGTAAACGCAACATTACTTCCCCAGGTGTCCGTGGCCGTCCCTGCAACCTGCTGTATCTGAGAGGTGCCCCGCCAGCAGAGAGCGACCTTCTGCCTCCCCCTGCCTGGGTTGGGAACATGCAGATCCCTCCCGCGCCCAGGGGCAGGCGTGGTCCCTGGGCTGGGCAGCAGAAGAACACAGGCCAGGCCCAGAGAGGCTCAGGGTGCCCAGAGCAGCGAGACCTGCCTGCCCTCCAGAGCGCACCACGCGTTTCCTTGCGCAGCAAGGCGCACGGCAGAGCATCTGATTGCCTGAGCCAAGGCGCACCCAAGCACAGCTCCCGTAGGAGGTAGGAGCACTCAGTGGTTCACAGAGGTGGTGCAGGCGCAAAGTCAGGGCACAGGAGCAGCGGCAGTGGGGCCTTACCACCCTGAGGGGCGGTCCTGGACCAGCTGTGGAACACCCGTGGCTAATATTGACCTCCTGCGAGACTGCAGCGCGGTGCAGTGTGGGTGCGGCGGGCTGTGTCATGTGGACATACCGCTCCAACAGACGCGCCTGAGCTTCGGTCGGCAGTTTCCGGTAACAACCTCCTTGTGTGTTGGGAGGGGGAATCGGACTGGAGGACCAAGGACCACTCCTCATGAAACAGCGACCCCTCAGAGTGGGCAAGAGCCAGAGGCAGCCCGTGCCCACGCCGAGTGTGCCACAGAGGCCTGCCCACACCAGCACCCATCAATGCCCGTGAACGTCGACCAGCAGTCGACCGCTGGTCACGCAGCAAATAGGCAGGACCTGGGGCTGGAGTGCAGTTTCGTCTCTAGAGCGGAGCTGAAGTCAGCTGGAGGGGCCGCCCTGCAGCACAGGAAGTCTCGGACAGACCAGGCTTCCTCCCGTCCACAGCCCCGGAGTTCCACTCAGCGGAGTCTCCTGGCCCCTCGGCCTCCAGCAGCCAGTTCTACACCAGGTTTCTCTCAGTCAGGGAGTGACTCGTGCTCCACGAGAGACCGCCGTCACCCCGGTCAGGGGCACTCCTGCTTAACCGTGGCCAAGCTGAGGGGGGAAGCGTTTTCTGTCGCCAGCTCGGGCACTCACAGAACCTGCGCCAGGCTGCAGGCCGATCCTCCACAGCTCCCTCCCCTTTTCTTGGCAGTTTTAGGAAGTCTTTGTGTCTTCACATCGTCTCTAAATCTACGCTTTGTCGACTGACTCTACACATTCCCCTACACATGGACAAGCACAGCGAATTCCTGGTTTGTTTCCATCTTGTGGAACTACTGCCGGTTGTGTTAGGGGGTCTCACGTCAAGAGCCACAACACAAACCACACCTGGTTAGGCCGTCTCCGCCTCAGGTAAGCCAGGACCCTCAGGGAGGCTGCGGACAGCCCCAACGGAGCTCCTGGGGCGTTTCTCTTTACTTTTGTACAGACTTGAAAATCTCTACGTTAAGATTTTTTAAGGTATCAACGTTATCTGCACCTTATGTACTTAAGCTGGTGGTAAGTCCTCATCCCATCACAAGCTTTTTTGGGCCGCAGTGGGGTACAGAGATGGCCGTGTCCCTGCGGCCTCACCTGTGTCAGACACACTTCGCCACATGCTGAATCACACACAGACATTATATTAGGGTCCTGGATTTTCTGTTCTGTGCTATTGCTCTATCTGTGTGGTCTAAGAAAGAAACCATTCTGTTCTGCACACAGAGGTTGAACGGCACATTTTAAGGACTGGGAAATCCAAGGCCTCACAATTTTTAAAAGCCGTTTTCTTGGGGGTTCACCCTGCTTGTGAACACTGAATGCATTTTATTGAATTAAAAGAGAAAAAAAAATACATGGGCTGGCACTGCGGCACAGTGGGTTAAGCCACTGCTTGCAGTGCTGGCATCCCACATGGGCGCTGGTTCCAGTCCCAGCTGCTCCACTTCTGATCCAGCTCCCTGCTCATGTGTCTGGGAAGACAGTGGAAGATGGCCCAGGTGCTTGGGCCCCTGCACCCACGCCGGGGACCTGGCTGAGGTTCCCAGCTCCTGGCTTCGGCCTGGCTCAGCCCTGGTCATTGTGGCGATTTGGGAAGTGAGGGAGCGGGTGGAAGAGCTCTCTATCTGTCACTCTGCATGTCAAACAAATAAATAAACACACACATCTTTAGCCCAAGAAAATACGTTCAATTCCAGTAGTTATCAGGGAAACTAACATTAGAAAACGGATACAGGGGCCTGCGGCCCAGTGATTAGGAAGATGCTAAGGATGTCCACACCGCATGTCAGAGGGCCTGGGTTTGAGTCCTGGTTCCCCCACTTCCAATCCGGCTTCCCGCTACTGTGCACCCCCGATGCGGCAGGTGATGAGTCAAATACTTGGGGCCCTGCCACCCATATGGGAGACCCACGGGAGCTGACTCAGGCTGCTGTTGCGGGCACTTGGGGAGTGAAACATGGAAAGGAGCTCTGTCTCTCACTCTGCCTTCCAAATCAATAAATAAACGTAAACAACAACAACAACAGGGATGCTAGCAAGGGTGCACTGAAAGGCAGAATGTGCAGTCACTTGGGGAGGCTCTCACAAAGCAGGGAGCGTGGGCATCTGCCTCAGAGAAAGGGAGAGTGTGCACACGGTCCCAGCGGCCAAAGCTGGACAAGGCCCAGTGTCGCTCAGTGGGTGAAATGGTAAAGGCACTCTGGAACACCAGACGAGGGAACACACAGCAACCTGGGGCGCCTGGGGGGGCGGGGACAGGAGAAGCTCTAACTCCACTCACCTAACACCTGGAGACGACAAAGTCACAGGCACAGAGCAGACTGGTGCAGCCCAGAGCAGAGCAGAGCAGACGCGTGCTGGTTACACTAATCTGCATGTGGCAGAGACCGCCCAGGAGCAGACACACACAGGCCCACGGCACACACAGACGAGAACCAGTGACGCCGGGTCAGGCCTGTCCTGCTCGGGCTCCGACTGTGTGCCTGTGTGCCACAGGAGAAGCACACACGGTTCCAGTGCCAACTTTGTGACTTCTCATGAGTCTGTAATTACTTCAAAATACAACACTTCTTTAAAAGACAACAAACAGGCAATTCAGAGCAACCCTCTAGAGCTAAGACAATATTTTTTAAAAGCTGCACAAAGTTAAAATGAACAGGGGCTACTGGTCACAGCGAGCTGACAGGTGACTGCTCCCTGACCCCCGCGAGTTCCAGGAGAGGCATTCTGACATCAGGGACAGTCAGGCTGCCCACCAGGGCCCACAGCCGGTGGGGCGAAAGAGGTCCAGAGAGAACTGGCAAACCCCTCCACAGATCTGGGACCCAAAGAACCACACCCTAGAAACAGGTCGGCCGAGGCCTGGCACCAAACCTCCCAATACTGAAACAGGACATAGCACAGCCCGGCACTGGACCTGGCCACCTGCCTGCCCCAAAGGCCAGGGTCTCTGGACGAGGGGTGACCCTGGCCTCCAGAAAGAGCCACAGGCACTTAGCGACATCACTGGACACAGATTTTATACCTCACTGACACGTTCAAGGAGCTGGGAACCAGGAAGAAAAGCAGAGTTCTGGAAGTGCAGAATTGCAGACAGAAGACAGATAAAGAGCATGTCCAAACTGCACCAGAGAGGGGGCGGGAAGACACGCCTCCCCCACGCACTGAGCTCCCAGGACTGGAAGGACGAGGAGCAACGTGTGAGAGACAACAGCAAAGAACCAATTTCCCAAAGTGGCCGAAACACCCGCAAAACCCACAGATCAGCTAACATGCACGGCCCGCAGGCACGCAAGTCAGACAACTCACTCCAGGTGTGTTATGAAACTGGCGACAGGCGAATTTCAGAAGCCAGAAAAAATGGACAGATCATCCAACAGTAATAACGGACTGGCAGCGAACTTCGCAGAGAGGGACTCCACTCAGAAGGTGAGAGAAGGCCTGACAGACAGACAGACAGAGGCAACCAAGCAGAGGCACCCTCAGGAAGGAGGGCGCCCCACACAGCACCTGTCCTGCAGCCCGGGAAGCCAGAAGCACAGACAGGGAGAGAGGACGAACTAAGTACGTGCGCGATCCACATGAACCCGCACAGCTCAGGCTGGGATGACTTCAATTTCACACCAGGGCGGCAGGGCCCGAGCTCGAGGGAGGGCAGCTGGTGCTGGGCGGGGCGGGCCCCCCCTTACAAGGGCAAGGCTCACCTCCTACGTGGCACCGGCACAGGGACCCCTACCCATTCCACAGTGTGCTGGGCTGTCCCAGGCACTGGAATTCAGGGACCATGACAAGGGCAGAGGGCAACCCATCAGACTGGCAGGGCTCCCCACCCCTGCCAGGCGAAAGCTCCCGCCTCTCCCATATTGGCAAGGAAACAGCCAACACCAGCGCTGGTGTTTCGGCCTAGCAGCACAGGTGCCCACACCCCACGTCACAGCACCGGGTCCACGCCCCGCTCCGGCTCCTGACACAGCCTCCCGCTCACGCAGACCTCGAGACAGCAGGGACGGCTGAAGTGACGCCTCCCACCCAGCTGGGAGGCCTGCGGTCAGTGCCTGGTCTCCGGCTGCTGTGCAGGCACTTGGGAAGCTACCTCTCCCAAGCAAGTTGTTCAGATGGTTTGTAACCCACATCAAACACCGCAAGAGCAGAGGACGCCCTCTCCTTGGCAGGCCACGCACTGTGGGGAGTGCCCCGTGCCTGCTGCCCTCCTGAGGGCAGGGAGGAGTAGCAAGCAGGCCTTCTGAAAGCTCCTGCACCCCACCCCCAACCCAGCCACACGCCTAACTCCGGGACAGCTCAGACCACGGGCTGGAGGAGACCTGGGGCAGGGCCACGGCCCCAGGGAGGGAGAGAAGCCGCCTCGGTCACCCACCTCTGCCACCTGCGGCCGGGTCCGCTGCACAGCACTCTACCCACTCTTGGCCGAGTGAGTGGGCAGATCTCACCACTGCCTTGTAGCTGGCAGAGATGGGCTTGAGCTTCTAGGGCCCATCTTCCAGGACAAGCCCTTCAGAACCCTGAGCTGACAGCCACAGAAGGCACAGGGGCCCTCAGCAGACACGCGAGGACAGCTGCAGGCGTCAGGGCACACAGCCCTGGAGCCCAGCTGCACACTCCTAGAACCCGCGCCTCTGTTCCCCAGAGCACGCAGGCCTCAGCTCAGCCAGGGCTTCGTCAACTGTGCTCACGGCTACCTGCCTGCAACTCACTGCGCCTCGTCCTGGTCCCTGGGGTGTGGCAGCTTCCCTCCCCAAGATGGCTCTTGGCCCATGAGTTCCTGAGCTCCACAAGGGCAGGCCTGGCTCTGTGCACAGTGGATCTGACAACCCAGGGAACCCACAGCCGGAATCTTAGCACACCTTTCCCCACAGCTCACTCGCTCACCGCTGCAGCCTTCGCATGGCTGCACAGGTGCGTGCCTCCCTTCCTGACAAGCACCTGTGCAGGCAGTGCTGGGGTTTGGCTCTCAGGTGTCATGGGGCACCCACACGCATGGCCTCTGGCACCCTCCCCTGCCTCTGAGCAGGCAAACACCAGCCAGCTCCTGGGGACAGAGGAGCCCAGCACATGGCTCAGAGTCCGCACACCTGCCCCAAACGGGGCCTTCCAACCTGATCCTAGGTCCCGTGACTTCTCAGCTCCAGGCAGGTCCCATGTGGGCAATGCAGATGCAGCACGATGCTGCAACCCTCCCTCAGAGCCTCTGCACACCTGGGGACACCTGCTCCCCAGTCACACCCACCCTCCTCTCCAGCGTCAGCACCCCACAGAGGACACCATGTCTCAGGCCCAGCACTCACGAATGCCTGGGACTCCCAGGGGCTCCAATCTTGGGAACACTGCCCCACAGCTGCAAGGTCCCTGCCTCGTCAGCGCAGAAACAAATCTGTGTGCCACGACCCTGCTGGCAACCCTGCAGGCTCCATCCCAGTCCCTCCAGGCAGTGCACTGCTGGGAGCCGCAAGGACCCAGGCTGAGTCCCTAGAGGGAGCCCAGACACACGTGTGGCTGCCGTCCAGGTCTGCAGACCAGCACCCACCACGCACCAAGCCTGGTGTGCTGTGGCCACACGTCACACCCAAGCCCACTCACCAGCTCTGCCAGCCCACCCAGGGGGAAGTCTCACGCAGCTGGGGCCAGGACCACTGGGCCCTCCGGGGAATAATCCCAGACAAGCCAGTGAGCACCTGAAGTCCTCGCAGGGTGAGTTTCGCGGGCTTTGGTGTCACTTGCATTCCTGAACATTTTTAAGTGGTCCTTTGCTCTACAGTTGCATTTAGGCTCAATGACGCACGGGGAGGAGACACCACCCCGTCGTGAGAGGCCACAGCACTCTCCTGGCCAGACCAGCCTCCCCACAGCAGCTGGGACGGAGGCAGGTAGGGACACACAGCAGCAGGCACAGGGCAGCAGGGTGGCGCCAGGCGGAGGGAGGTGGACTACCGCAGGAGGAACCTCGGGCCTCCTGGGACGCACGTCCACAGAGGGCCTGGCCCCGTCTCTCCTCTCCAGCGGCAGGGACTCAGACCTACCTGCTTGTCTCATGAGCTCTCCTCCCAGTCCCCTGAAAGACATCAATGAAACGCTCAGAGTTAAATCGCTTCACATGTAATGGAATATGAACTATCCTCACCAAGCAGCAGATGTAACTTCAGGCAACAAAAAATACAGCTAATTATGTTAGCTTGCTACTAAAACGATGTTCGACAGCCTTCGGCTCCCTGGCCACACGGAGCACCCGGCTGCCCTGCGCAGAGCAAGGTGCAGCCACAAACCCCAAGGGGTGAGGTGGATGTGCCACCATGACAGTCAGGGGAGACCAGTGCACCTGTCTGCCCACGCCCACCACAGGAACCATACACAGGGATCGGAGGAACTCTGAGAAGACAAACAGCAACCTATGAGCCCTTGCTTCTGACCCAGCAGAGTAACAGTCTCTGGATTTGCCTCCTGAGTAAATAATTAGAAAACTGGACAAAAGGAGAACTCTTTCCAAAGCGGACGAGAGAGTGAGGGAGGCGGGAGGGGCCATGGACAGCCCGGAGAGCTGCTGGGGATCCTGGGTGCAGAATGGGGGAAGTGCCTCACTCAGCAGAGGTCAGGGTGGGAGATGGGTGAGGCCGACGGGGCTGAGATGGAGTGGCAGAGGAGGGGGAGCCAAAGGGCAGCTCTGGGCGCCCTCGCCCGCATGCTGGCACTGGGCTGCATGTGGTAAAGGGACGGAACACCTCGGTATCCCCAGGTGCCACTGCTCTGGACTCACAGGCCTGCACAGTCTCACCAATCCCGACCAGAAACACAGAAGGTGACAAGATCCCATCCCAGGCTACACATCTCACAAGGAGGGTTATTAGGAAAATGTGGCTACAAACAGAAGAAAAACCAACCACAGCAGGCCCAGGAACGCCAAGGATGATGGGCTACACTGCGGTCACCAAGACGGTGTTAGGTTCCCTGTACGTCCAAAACAGCAGAGGAAAGGGAACAGGATGGGGAGACAGGAGGCATAAGACAAAGTAGGCCGGCGCCGTGGCTCACTTGGCTAATCCTCCGCCTGCGGCACCGGCATCCCATATGGGTGCTGGGTTCTAGTCCCGGCTGCTCCTCTTCCAGTCCAGCTCTCTGCGGTGGCCCGGGAAGGCAGTGGATGATGGTCCAGGTGCTTGGGCGCCTGCACCCGCATGGGAGACCAGGAAGAAGCACCTGGCTCCCAGCTTCGGATCGGTGTAGCTCCGGCCGTAGCAACCATTTGGGGGGTGAACCAATGGAAGGAAGACCTTTCTCTCTGTCTCTCTCTCTCACTGTCTAACTCTATCTGTCAAATATTAATAATAATAAAAAAAGACACAATGTAGAATTTCAAGACAAATTTTTAAACCACAAGTATGAAGAGAAAAATTGCATGAAACTCAATGAGCAGCAGATTAGAAAGAGTGGAAGCAAAGGAGGCAGAACCAGAGACAGGAGCCGCCGGTGGGCTGAGGTTACCCTCAGAGCAAAGGGGCACTTTCTGGTGGCTGGGCGCTCCCTTGTGGGAGGGTCATCTGGCAATATCCATCACGCTGTTCGTGAACATTACTGCATGTGAATTATTCCTCAAAAAGAAAGTTTTAAAGGGCTGGCGTTGTGGCACAGCAAGTTCAGCTGCCACTTGCAGACACGGCATCCCACACCAGCGCTGGGCCAAGTCCCAGCTGTCTGCTTCTGTCCAGCTCCCTGTTAATGCCCCTGGGAAGGCAGCACGGGACGGTCCAAGTCATGCGTGTGGGAGACCCAGACGGGGTCTCTGGCTCACAGCTCCAGCCTGGCCAAGCCCTGGCTGATGTGGCTATTCAGGGAATGAACCAGCAGATGGAAGGTCTCTCTCTATCATTCTTTCAAATAAATTAGCCTGTGGGACAGCAATAGTAGAATGACACATCCCATTCCCATTTGCCAACATCTATTAAGAATCACAGTGACCTGTGAGTGCAACGGACAGACCTCGGTGAAGAAACCCCTGGAAGTCCCCACAGCCTCTGAGCTCTCCCTCTGCTGGCCTTGGTCTGACCCATGAGGTTATTCAGAATTGCATGTGCCTGCGAGAACACAGACTCTCGTTCAGCACCCGCAGCAGCGCAGGCTGGGGGCACTGCCCGCCCAGTGGCCCTGTGCTCCCAGCGGGGGCCACCAGCCTTCCTGGGACCACACCACGAACAGTGCTGGCACGGCTGCAGACGGCCCCGAGAGCCCGAGAGCCCCTGCTTCGTCCCAGTCTCTTACAGAAAGGTCTCCCCTGCTGCACTAGGCAGGCTCTGCGAAAACTTTACACTTTTTCTGTTTTAGAAGTCCATGTTCAGGCCACTAAAACCCTGAGGATCTTTCGGTCAAACCAGGGCTGGGTTCCGGAGCAGCTGTGAACACACAGTAGGAAACTGCTTGCCAGGAAGGATTGCTCACAACTAAGGGACTCCCACAGCACGGCAGGGGTCTGCTCCCACGCCCTCCTGCAGATCAAACAGGGACCACCTGAGCCACAGTGATAATGGCATTAACAATCACAACCTGGTGACGTGACAAGTGCTCACGGGTCTCCAGGACAGACGTAGGACAGAGAGAAGGCAGAGCGTGAGCCCTGCTTGCACAGAAAGGAGAACTAGACCACCAACTGGAAGCCCCAGTGGAGGGACCCAAGCAGGGAAGGAGAGGCCGCACAGGACATCCACCCCCAGCCCCTACCTAGGGGACCGCCTCTCCAGGAACATCTTCCACAGGGTGTGGCCCCTTTAGCCCAGCAAGGGGCAGCCTGACCCCAAGCTCCGCCCACACCCAGCCAGGAGGGAACAGGCGACAGACACTGGATGTGGAGCGTCTCCCGAGGCAGCGGCACCTGGAGCCGACTGAGCTCTAACACGTGCGGAGCTGAGTCTGGACGTGAGCCTGGATGAGCGCGCTGCCACGGCTGCACTCGCCAGCAAGCAGTGACGCCAACACAGAACAGCCTGCTCGGCAGCGACACGGCCCCAAGTACCGGGGGAGACATCCCGATGCCTACAACTCACTCGTGTCAAGGAAACCGGATGATACACACATGAAGAGAGGGACCAGCCGAGATCAAGCACACGGCCAAATGTCAGTCGCCAGCGGGGCGGGCTTGTATCCTTCAGGCTCATGGCTACTGGCTCCTCTTTTCTTTTCTTTTTTTGTTAAAGATTTATTTATTTGAAAGGCAGTTAGAAAGAGGGAGAGGGAGAGACAGAGAGATCTTCCATCCACTGGTTCACTCCCTGAATAGCCGCAACAGCTGGGGCTGTGCCAGGCAGAAGCCAGGAGCTTCTTCTGAGTCTCCCACATGACTGCAGGGGCCCAAGGGCTAGCGCCATCCTCCACTGCTTTCCCAGGCACATTAGCAGGGAGCTGGATGGGAAGTGGAGCAGCTAGGACTCAAACTGGTGCCCACATGGGATGCCGGCGCTGCAGGCGGCAGCTCTGCCGGCTTTGCCACAGCGCCAGCTCCTCTTCATTTCCCTAGCTCAGACTTTTCAGACACAAGTTTGGTTCCAACAAATCAGTCCTTGCTGCAGGACCTCCTGGGCAGGCTCCCTCAAGGCCTCATGGGATGGACAGAAGCTCCCAGAGACACAAGCTGCCTCAGCCAGGGACAAGGCCAATGGCACTACTCCCAAGACATGGGGCCTCTAGCCAACTGTTGCATTCTCGGAGGCGACAAACAGGCCTCCAGGGCCGTGGGACACGGGGAGAAGGGCCGGCAGGGGTAAAGGCACAGCTCTTCACACACACGCCTCAGGCAGGGTGCCCATGTCCGCCTGTGCACACCCCACAGCGATGCTCTGACATGAAGAACCCTGGGCTTCTGGTCTGCATGGCTCCCGCGGGTGAGCAGGACACAGGTGTCGCTGTGTCGCCATGAGCAGTGACGCTACAACACGCTCTCCCCTTTGCTCTTCAGGGTAAGAACTTGGGTGTTTCCGGTGACAGCAGCCTGGCCTGGGCCCCTGGACCTCCCAGTCACCTCCAACATGAAACATGACCCCAGGCTCCTGGCAGGACGCACCGAGGCCAAGGTGGATGACCTGGGGTTTTACAGGACCCCATCCAGCCTCACATGCACTCATGTTCATATGAACTCATATGTACCAGACATTTCACCTTCTTATAGAACCTGCGCACAGAATGTTCTACCTCTCACAGAACTCGCACAATCAACATCCTACCTCTCACAGAAACCCCAAAACATTCCGCCCCTCACAGAACCCACAAACCACAACATTCTACCCTCTCACAGAACCTGCACACCACAACATTCTACC